AACTTGGGTAAAATTGTGTAAGAACTTGATATTTGCATGTTGAATGGATGGTTTTGCTAGTAAGATAGAGATATACTTGCTAGCCTTACATAGCCACATTAGGGTTAGTGTTTAAAATTGAGTTTTATTAATTATAACAAGAGATTGTGCAATCAATTTAACTAAACACTTGTTCATGACTTGAGAGAGCTTGTCCAAGTATTTTTAGAACCCTAGATTAACACTTATTTTCATTAAAAGCATTTATAAGAGAAGATAATTTTGGTGTTATAAAATGCAAGGGGGATAAATAATCCTAGGTCCTAAATTGTGTTAGAAGTTTGTGAATCACTCATTTTTCTTTATTTTCTAGTGTTAGTTTCATTTGAAAAACCATTTTCACCTAACTTTGTGTAGCTTAACTTGATCAAATTTATTTAGTCTTTTGCTTGATCATTGTTTTTGAACAAATCCTCGAGGGAACGATACTTTACTTTCATTATATTACTTGCTATGACTCGTGCACTTGCGGTGAGCAACAAGCATGAGTCATAAATTCTGCAAAGCGACATTCTTGCCAAGGCTATATGTCTTTTTTTAGTCTACTAAAGCCCCCTTGCTCCACATGCATGCGAATCCTTGGGTTAAACTTTGATTCTACTAGTGACCAAATCACTAGCATATGTGTGTTGATTCGCACTAGATTTGCATATGTGCTGATGGTGGTGGATTTCTAGCATTATCAGTACCTAGTTCAAGAGACCATCCTTTAAATTGAAAGACTAGCATTATCATAGGTGCACCTAGAATCCTCAATTTTTTTTGACACAATATCACCCCAATATTTTTTTAATTTAGTTTAATGTTGCCCTACTTTTAGAAATTTAACTGTTTCAATCATTAAGTTAAAAAATTTGATCATTATCTCCCTTTCTAGCTTGCCATGTTAGTGTTCACGTGTAATTATCTCTTCCCTCCTCTACCCTTTTTACTTCTCTTCTCCAAACCTATCAGATCCCATTTGTCAAAATTCTCCATAAACAATACAACAAGTCAAAAGTGAATCTTCCTAATTTCATTGTTGCGATTAGTGAAAGTGAAGGAATATATTAAATAAATAACATACTGAATAAAAGAGTCGGGTAAAAGTTTTACTAGATCTAGGCATAGAAGAGTCTATCTAACTACCCGCACGAGTTTAGACTATTAGAGTCTAAACTATAGTGCATAGTAGATATACCGAAGAGAAAGAGAGGGAGAGAATGAGTGAACTAGAGAATTGTTTGCTTTATAATGGCTTCTACCTTTAACCTTTGATCACTATTTATAATGAAGGGATGTCTCCATATAAATGGAAGATTCAATTAATATTAATTCGATCGCCTCATAATAGAAGAAATATGCTGGTTGGAATAATCATTAATATGATAGAGGATCATTTCCTTTTCATGCTATTAATAAGACATTAATACTAGATTTTGGTCAATTCATTATGATCAGAGTTATGATTATCATGAGTGGAATTTAAATTTAAAAATTCTAACAGAAACCACTAATGTTTAAAACTTGGTAGAATTTGACTGAAAGATCTCCCAAAACCACAAAACCTACATTCTTTAACCCATGCGTTGCAATGGGTCTAGAAGATAACAATGACCATTATTGAAAGCAAAAGCATAAACAAAATGCGGGGTTGGTGCGAAAAGGGATGTGAGGAAAGCGGGAGGTCTCAAGACAATGGTAAAGGAAAGTAGAGAGGCCATCTTTTTCTTTGTATGAATCTAGAAAATGGATTATCATTCATTGTGATTCTAATGGAACAGGAAGAGAATGAGAGGAAATTGAAATTGATATATCATAATTTCTATACCAGAGATGGGGTACACGAATAGTGGATGTGAGCATCTCAAGCAACAACGAGGATGACGAGTAGGTTTGGGCTCACAGTAATTAGCGACAGGGAGAACGACGAGCACAACTTGTTTGCAATGAAGCAATTTCCTTCATAAAAAGCACAATTCAAAGAGATTTAGGTGAGGATCAATTGAGTAAGCTTCAAACTAATGTGACAAATTTTAGGTGAGTCTAATTGGATGATTCAAGTTTTCCTTTTCTTCCATCATTGATTTTGACTCTTTCAGAAAATTATAATTGTTGCTGGTAATAGAGGTGGAGCGTTTGGTGGGGGAAGAAAGGTTAGAACTTTTTTTAAAAGGAGAAAAAAGGTTGAGGTGGATGAAAGATGGCATGCCATGTAAGCACAATAAGGATAACTAACAATCAACATAGTCAAACCCTAATGGTAAAGCGACATTGCACCAAATTAAAAAATATTCCTTCTCTTCCATAGTTGATTTTGACTCTTCCAGAAAATTATAATTGTTGCTGGTAATGGAGGAGGAGCGTTTGGTGGGGGAAGAAAGGTCATAACTTTTTTCAAAATAGGGGGGAAGGTTGAGGTGGATGCTAGATGGCATGCCACGTAAACACCATAAGGGTAACTAACAATCAACATAGTCAAACCTTAACGGTACGACATCATTGTACCAAATTGAAAAATGTGAGGATAACATTGCACCAAAAAAAAAGGATACTAGGTGTGCCTAAATGAAAATTTTGAGAGTAAATTTGTACCTAAAACCTTAATATTATTTCCTTTTCCATCTTAGCAAAATTTTTCTTTACATAAAAAAGTGATGTGGATGCCACATAGGCATGCCATGTAAGCATGGTCAAACTAGTCAACTAACAGTCAACATGGTCAAATTGTCATATCAAGACGACATTAATTGTATCAAATTGAAAAATGTTCGGATGACAATGTGTCAAAAAATATTCAAGGATATCAGGTGGGCCTGTGTAGAAACTTTAAAGGTAAATTTATATCTTAATTCTAAAAAAAATTCCAAACATTCTTTCTGCACTAAGTCCCTAAAAAAAAGGGAATTGAACAAAAAAGAATAGATGTAGCGATTCCTTCTTTTGCCAACAAGTCTTTCACTATATTTTGGTCCCTTGCAAACTGCACCTGAAATCTCCAGTTGAATTGGAGTAAATTACAGATTTCTAAAGAAACCAAGCTTCACATATTTATAAATTAGTTATGGAAGTTTATTCATTGATGATAGATATTTTTCATCTTTGCATTAGTGATGGCTTTATTTTAGTCACTAAATTAGTGACACTATATTTATGATAGAAATTAGTAACAAATGGTCCATTACTAAATCTAAATTTGGTGATGGATTTATAATATCATGCTTCATAGAATAACACGCAATTTATGTCAAAATGATAATCATATATTATAGATTAAAATAAATTCTTGATAATAAATCATGAAATAAAAGGATAGTAAAAGCGTGAAAATATAATAATATTATAAAACAAAGATCACAAGAATATTCCCATACCTTTATATGATGAATAAGAATACTCAGTTACCCATGAATCAATATGGTACCTAAATAATTTGTTTGAAATTGCAATGTCAAGGTCATAGTTTTTTCTAAATAAAAATGGAAAAACTTTACCATGCCATTTCGACAAACTACGAGTACTATCTCCATGAGGCAAACAAAAAATCAACCAGTATAAATAAGAAATATTTTGGGTTTATGTCATCATGGAATAATTTGGTAGAGTTTTGTGCTGACAACATGCTATGAAAATAATAAAATATAGGAAAAATGAATGGGACAAAAGAATATTAGAAAAATAGAGATGAAGAAGACAAAGAGAGAATTGGAGATTAAAAGAGGAGTTATTTTTTATTCATTCAAGTTATTATAAATGTGTATGAATCACCTCTATTTATAGGACCATAATATTAAAGGTTAACTCTGAGAATTATAAATACATAAAGAAAAGAATTAAACAATACAATTGTATAATTAGAGGTTATATAAAATAAATGGTTGAAACCCTTCTATTTGGGAGTTATGGGATATAATGCCATTCAATATAGAATGTAATGTTAAAATAGAGGTATGAACATCCACACTAATTATATTATTTATATAACGGACGGAAGTTTCATTTGGCAAGATCCGAACGTGAATCACTTCCAATTGCTTAATTTTTTTAGTGAATCCATAATTGCTTAATTTAATCTAATAGATGCTAGACTTCCAAAACTTTTCCAGTAAATTTTTACATATTTTCAAGCATACCCTAAGAAAATTAAATACATTGTCTATTAACATTATGAATTAGGAATTTTTTATATATTAAAAAATTATATTCATTTGACAAAGTTATTTGAACTTAGGGATGAAAAACTAAGTGATTAGCGTTTTTAATTGTATAATATAATATGACAATTTTTTAACAAAAAGAAACAAAATACCAAATTTCTGAATAATAAATATTAGGGAGAATGTAATTGTTGGTCCCTATAATTTTATCATGTTTTGTTATTGGTTTCTATACTTTTTTTTTTTCATTATTCCACACCCCTATAGTACTAAGTGTTAAAGTATCTTATGTGTAACCAACATCATTTCACTAGAAGTCAAGCAAGGGTTAGGTTTTATTTCACTTGTTTTTACATATTTCGAAGTCGTCGTTTCGCTTTTGCTTTTATTTCACTCACCATACCAAGATACTTTGTTTAATTTTTTTTCTTCTAATTTTGAAGCCATTGGTTGTTATTCTTTGTTTAATGTTAATGTTTGAATTTATTTTGTCTTCACGTAGTTAGGCATATTTTCAGTTTCTTTCAATTGATCTTTGTTATTATGTATTTTGTGATTTCCCTATATTTCTATTTCTTATTTTAACATTCAAGTTAACACTCTTAGTTATACATTAGATAATTTAATATTATTAGTATAAAATAGAAAGATTAACGTTGCATATAAAAAAAACTATGCCTAGAGAAACAAAACAAAGTATATGGATTATTAATAATAAAATACAAAAAAATTATAAGAACCAATCATTTTTTTGGTAAATATTTTAACAGGGAAGTTGTGCCTTTGGATTATCAAATATTGTTCCTTCCTAATTCCTATGATTTTGTGTCCATGTATGTATAAATCTAGGGTCCGATTCCACTTTTGGCGAAAACTATTTCCGCCATGGACTCCTCAACCCCTTTTCTCGTACTTACCTTTCTACTCTCATGCCTTTGGATTCTCATCTTCTTCCATCAAAAGCAAAACCCAAAATCTTCCAAGCTCCCCCCAGGTCCTCCTCCTTTTCCGATCATCGGAAACATCTTGGAAATCGGTAAAAATCCTCATCAATCACTCTCTAAACTCTCAAAAACCTACGGCTCTCTTATGACTGTCAAACTAGGTTCTATAACCACCATAGTTATTTCCTCTCCAACCATGGCCAAAGAAGCACTTCATAAACACGACTCAACTTTCTCAGGTCGAACAGTCCTTCACACACTTCAAACATTTGACCACCACAAACTCTCTGTCGTGTTTTTGGATCCTTCAGTTCATTGGAAGACTCTTAAGAGAGTCTGCGTCACCAAAATATTCTCGTCTTCCCAGCTTGATTCCACCCAGAATTTGCGTTTAAGGAAGTTGCAGGAAATGTTAGAGTACGCGAATGAATGTTGCAGAAAAGGTGAAGGTTTGGACATCGGTGAACTAGCCTTTACGACGGTACTGAACTCTATATCTAGCACACTTTTCTCCATTGACCTCGCTGGTTACGCGTCTGGTTCGTCTCGAGAATTCAGAGATCATGTATGGGGTATAATGGAAGAAGCAGGGAAACCTAATATTGCTGATTTTTTCCCTGTTCTTCGAGTACTTGATCCACAAGGTGCACGCTCGAGAATGGACAATTATGCTGGAAAGTTGTTCAAGATGCTCGATGATATTGTTGGAGAAAGAATGGAACTGGTTAGAGCCTCGAAAATGGAATCTTTCACAGATGTATTAGGTTCATTGCTTAGTCACAAGGAAGAAGACAAACCTCAAGTGGGCCGTTTGGATATCGTGCATTTGTTTGGGGTAAGTGTCTCTAGATTTCTCTATTCTGTCATGTCCACATATTCTCAACCGTCCCAGATTTTCTTTGGCATATAAAATATATAGAAAACTAATTGTATGCACATAATTAATAGAATTAAATGGTAATTTGACCTCAAATTAAACTCATTTCTTTAATATCTTTCCCTCAAGCTTTTGAAAATGCTGATGGTTGCTTAACAAAAGTTACAGATATAATATCTTTTCCTCAAGTTTCTGGTTAATTTCACCAACAAACCAGAAAATGACAGAAACAAACCTAAAAAATTATAGAAAAGGACAAAAAAATTTCTCAATTATTTTCTACAATTTTTTGGATTCTTTTATGTAATTTTTTTGGTCATTTTCTATAATTTTTCTAATTAACTAATCTTTAAAGTTAACTTTTATCAAAAGTAGAGCTAGATTACACCATTTTTAAAAATTAAGAAGGAACATTGTACCACAAACGAATTTAAATCCCAAAAGCTCAAGGATCTATATATAGTTTAGGGATTAAATTGTTCTAAAATCTAATAAAATATGAAACTTGTAAATATCCTCACTTTTAGAAATTATTTAAAAGAGATAAAAATTAAAGAGAAATGGTTCACCGAAGAAATTGTGAAATAATTATTATTTTAAAGTGCTGAGATTTGTTATACCACGTGAAACGATTTGCGCATCTCATCAGTATCCACCGACGGAAAAAACTAATTATTATTATTATTTTTGAAGTGTGTGTATTACAATATTGATCATGTTGCTATCGCGTCTGTAGGATTTATTGGTTGCTGGGGCCGATACAACATCAAGTACAGTGGAATGGGCGATGGCTGAACTATTAAGTAACCCACAAAAATTGGAAAAACTCAAAAAAGAGCTTCAACAAGCCATTGGTGAAGAAGATATTAAAATGGAAGAATCAAATGTCTCAAAGTTGCCATTTTTAAGGGCAGTAATAAAGGAAACTCTTCGCTTGCACCCACCAGCTCCTTTGTTAGTACCTCACAAGGCATTAGAAGATGCAGACATTTGTGGCTTTACAGTGCCCAAAAATGCACAAATTCTCATAAACATATGGGCTATGGGAAGAGACTCGACCATATGGTGTAATCCAAATCAGTTCATGCCTGAGAGGTTCTTGGAGAGTGAAATTGATTTTAAAGGTCATGATTTTGAACTGATTCCTTTCGGAGCAGGAAGAAGAATCTGTCCTGGATTGCCATTAGCCTTCAGATTAGTTCACTTAATGTTAGCTTCGCTCATCCTCAAGTATAATTGGAAGCTTGCAGATGATCTCCATCCTCATGAAATAGACATGGAGGAGAAATTTGGGCTTACATTAAAAAGGGTTCAACCACTTAGAGCTATTCCAACTGAAGTTATTTCATAGAATTGAATATGAACTCTCTCACTCATCTTTCTCTTCCAGATTTTTCAACGCCAATATTCCAGATATTACTTTGGAGTGCAGATTTTTTCATCTAGATACTTCTATCCCTTGACAAAAACAATACAATGGCATCTTACCCCGAAAAAAAAAAAAAAAACAATGGCAGTTAAGGAATAAAAATTTCAAGAACCCGCTGGATAAATGTTATTGCCGACGTGTCAATGTGAGTGTGTATGTGTTAGTGTTTGCTGTCAGAGATTAATAAAAGTGAGCATGTGCAACGGTGAGAGAATGTAAGAGTGTGTTGAGTCAAATGAGTATGTGTAAAATATTGCTGAGTTCATAATAAACATTATATTTTGCTAAAGTCCCTTTTCCCTTGTCCAAGTTTTAACCATTCCAAGGCTCTTCCACTCAAATCTCAACAAGCGGTATTAAAGTTAGGCTTTCAACGAGCAGTTAAGTTGCTTGGAAATGGTTGTTATTGATCGAGTGTTTTGACGTTGAGCTGTTGAAATAAATTACCTCAAGGTTCTACTAATATGGGGTTTGGAAGTATGAAATCATTTGATCAGAAACTAGACTGTTTTTGTTTTTGTTTTTTTTTTGGGCCAAGATCGGAAACTAGACTTACTCGGTGAAGAGCTGAGCATTTCCAAGACGCATTGGTAGAGATTGCATTGATGGCCACATATATTGATAAATTAAATCATGATAATTACAAAACCTAATCTACTTGTATTCGGTTTATTTGCCTGGGCAAGATTTTTGGGATATTATTGTTGGTGCTAATACCACATAACTAAAATATCTTGAAGAACTTGGCAAATGGAAGGTGAAGGCTCGGAAAGCGACACACATCTTGTTAGTGACTATTGAAAAGGAGTCGGATTCCCTCAACTCGGGGGAACTAAGGATAGTGAAAATTTGGACCGTGTAGATTTAATCTGAATAATCTAGATTTAATGTTTAATTTTTTATATTTATTAAAATAAAAAATGATAAAAATTATTTAAAAATATTTTTTTATAAAAAGATCAATTAATTGAAAATAAAAATTTCAATTAATTTGATCACCAATCTAGATAGTTTAAATTAAATATTAAATATTTTTATAATTTTTTAAATTTTTGTAAATTGACTATCTAAATATCTTATGGACAATGAAGATTTAAAATCAAAATTTTTTATAACTTTTATAAATTCGGATCATCTATATTAAATATGAACTATTCTGACTAATGATTATATTTATTAAATTTTTTATAAATTTTATAAATTTTTATTTTAATAAATAAAAATTTTTATATTAAACCTTGATTTGGACAATCCAAATCCTTTTCAATTAGAGTGGAGTAACATTATCAAACTCATGAATTTAAGTAGAATTGTGATAAAGATACAAACTCAAATTCTAAACTTAGATCATAAATTTGTAAAGTTTGCCTTTTTTAATAAATAATCATTAAAAGTATATGATTAAATAATTAAAATATAAAATATAAGCATAATTTGATTTAAATATATTTTAAATATAAATTATTGAAAGTAAGTCCATCTATATGGATATATTATCATACTCAACATAGAAATTTTAAAATAGGGTAACTTATTTTTGTTAATTTCTTTTTAATTAATATTAATTAATTTTTAGCTTTTTAACTTTTATTTTTCTTTGAACTATGTCTTACCATTTCTATGAATCAAGTTTTACCCAATATATACTTAACTCGCTTAACTCAATAAAAAATTAATGAGTTTAGCAAATTTAATAAAGTTAACATCTAGTTTGAGTTTATGAGTAAATTGACACGATTTTACAAGTTAAAAATATAAAAATAATAAATTTAGAGAGTTAACTTGCAAATTTGATTGAGTTTACATTTAGTTTGAGTTTATAAATGAGTTGACATAATTTTATAATTAAATTAAAAATGTAAAAATAAAAAACTTAGAAAATCAAATCGAGAATTTGACAATCATAAAGTGAAGGGGTGGAGGAGTGGAGAAGGGAAGCCAAGTCCTCATGAAAGCAATCTTTTTCAATATATGCAAGATGTGAAGATGGAAAAAGAAGCTTGGGACACACTCACAACACTCTTTACATGAACAAACACTATGAAGCTTCAAAAGACTAGAAAATGAGTTGATGGCAGTCTCACAACAATTAGATATATGTTGTAATGCTAGTATTTTAGTAAAGTAAAAGTGTTATGTGACGAGTTTCAAAATTAGATCCAGAAAATAAAATTACTAAGAAGACAATGAGATGGATCACAGTTCCTGGCCGACATGCCTGAGTTTAGTAGTCTTGTCGTAACTATTAGTGGTTGGGCAACAAAACCAACTCTGGTCAAGGTGGAGAATGTTTTAGCCAATCAAGAAAGTTGACTAGACAAATTGTTGAGTTCCTGACATCTCGTCCTTCCAGCACCCTTCTTCGAAGACGAAGCTTGAAGCCACGACAATGAAGCAGCAAACACACACAATGGTGAAGAACACGAGCGAAGAGGATTCCGATGAGGTCCCACTCACAAGCCCAACTCGACGCCGCCAGTCTGCTAGAGAAGCTCCCTGCTTTGCCGCCACACTCCACGCCGCGCTGCCGCCCTCTCACACCATTCTCAGATCTCATCTTCTCAAATCTGAAATGAGAAAGGACGCTGATGGTAAGGACTGAAGGGGGGGGGAGCCGACGGTGATGATTGGAGAGGGGGAGGAAGATGATGGTAATGACTGGAGAGGGAGACGACGGTGAGGAGAGGGAGGAAGACGACAATGATATATATATATATATACACACACACATATATATAAAACTGTGTGGAGTGGGTTTTTGAGTCTTTTCATTAGAGTTGGTAATTAGGTTGGACCAAGCTTATTTAAACTGAGCTCAATTCGAATCAAGTTATGAGATCAAACTTAAAGTATTCTATCTTATATAAAAAAACCTATATGGTCAAGCTCAGTCTTAACATCTTTGGGCTTCGGGCTTATTCGGGTTGGCTTAAATACCTGAAACTTCTTAAAAATATTTTTCTCTATTTTTGAATAAATTTTAATTTTTAAATAATATTGTTAAACATAAGATATTATTTTGACTTCAAAAGAATAAAAGAAAAAATAATAATTTATCAACTTTGCACTTAAGTAAATCTATTACTGTTTTGTTGTATTATATGTAATTTATTCGTGAATGTTTCTTTTACTTATAAATTAATATCTTAATTGTTTAAATATTTCTCCTCTCATGCCATGTATAAATATTTTATATATTTTAATTAAATTATGATCAAGTTTCGCAATTTAATCACAGTTAGATCACTAATTAAAAATTATTACCCCGGTTAGTTCAAAATTTTCAATAACTTATGAGTAATATGTACATTTTGGTTGTAAGAATATAAAAAAATAGTCATCATTGTATTATATAAAACAAAAGAATTTAAATATGAATAAAATACTATTTTTTTAATTGTCTTTTCTTTAGCTTTTTATATTAAGAAGTATTTACTTTAATTTATTCTTAATGTTTAATCAAGTTTGGCATGGATGATTACCAAAACATTATCTAAAAATATTCTTCTATTTATTTTATTATCTAGTAGTAGAGCTAAGAATTCTTACATGCCCAAATTTTATTTTTAGAATTATTTTTAATTTATTTTTATTTTAAAATTAAATATCTTATTTTATGAAAATATAAAATATATTTTTTAGGATACTCAAGTCTCAAACGATGTATAGAAATCAAAACTTCTTTAAAAAAATAATTAAGCTTTAAAATATAAAAATCAATACTTTAAATACTATTTTGAGATGTTTATTGATTAAAATTAATAAAAATTAATTATAGTAATGTACTCAAATATAACGTATTTTAATATAAAATGATATAAAATTTAAAGAATTAATTAATATTTATTATATTTAATATATTTTTTAAAAAATATTATTTTTTGAAGATCACCAATTCTTGCTTGCAGTCTTCCTAAAGCGGCCCTTACTCTGTATGGAGCCATAACATGGTTCCAAGGGACAGAATTGGAGGTGGACACAAGGAAGGTCAGCGTATGGCTTAGCCCTGTAGGCCTAAGCGTGAAAGGAAGGCTTCAAAGCTAGGCATAAGCTGGTAAACTATATGAGACTTCTTTTTAAGCTCAAGCCCAAATCTAATATATATATATATATATATATATCATTTTGTCAAATAAACTAGAAAGATATGTTCATATTCATATTTAATACTTGACCTTGAAATGATTACTTTTAATAGAATAATACCTATGAATAATAAAAAAATTAGCCTAAAATTAATACTGATTAATTTTTTTAAATTACAAATAAATTTTAATAAACTAATATTATTTTTTACCTATATAAAATATAAAAATATTATTTTAACTAACCACTTTGACCGAATAACAGGTGATTATTGGATCATCAATGCTAAAAATGCTGATAAGTAATTAAAAATATTATATTTTTAATAAAATTTTGTAAAAATATTAAATATTTTAATATTAATAATTTTAATATTATTATTTATAAATATTTATCTATAATTTAAAAAAATCTCTTAAATATTAATAGATCAACTTTTTTAAAAAAAATTATAGGTGAATGTGTTTTTCACACTAGTTGCATGTCTAATAAACCCATAGCGAGTAAATTAATCATTCTTTTTATTTATTTATTTTTTGCCAACAAGTACATTATGTAACACTTGCCCCGAATGTTATCCAAAAATCACACAATTCAAATAAACTAAGTGTGGTTAAGGAATTAATCCTAAAACCAACTTAGGAAACAAACCATTTAAATCACTAAGCAAATACATAATTGAAAAGTAAACATTTAAAGCCTTTAAAAAAATTTATAGGTTCTACCTATAGCGCGCGGAACTAAGCTAGACGAAAGTAAAATAAAAAAAATGCTATCATGATAGCATTAAATTGCTGTCATGACAGTCCTCCTGGCCTAACTTCCGGGAGGCATTGTTTCATCATTCGACCTCCGATCAAAGTAATTTTAAAGCTCACACGTCACATTCAAAGGGTACTATAAGTATACCAAATTTCAAAAAGATCCAACGGTCGGATTAAAAATTAGACATGTTAAAAAATTGATTATTTTTGCTGTCATGACAGCTAAGCACTTCCGGACCAACTTTCGGAGTGCACCATTTCATCATCTGATCTCCGATCGGAGTGATTCTAAAGCCCACATGTCACTTTTAAAGAATACTATTAGCATACTAAATTTTGAAAAGATCCAACGAACGGATTGAATTTTATGCAGGTTACAACATCAACACTGTAGCTGTCATGACAGCAATTTAATGCTGTCATGACAACACCTCCAGAC